TGCAATCATGTTATTAATATGTTTTCTCCATAATAACGTGTTATCCACTGTCACTCCCAGAAGCTTGGACTCATGTACATTCCTTATCGAGACGTTATTGATATTAATATTCAATATATGATTACTGTTTACGTTGTAATTTGACCTCACAATCATGCTGTTAGTTTTTGCTGTATTCAATACCAGCTTATTTGCTTTCACCCATTTATCCACTCCCACTAGTTCGTTTATTCATAATAATTTCTTATTCATTATTTGTTCTTGCTGATGTATATATAGTGGAATCATCTGCATACACTGTGGGAGAAAGATACTTTATTTTTATTTTTTGCAGCTGTGTAATCCCACCCTAAAAAGCCCTACATTTTATGTGCATTTATTTACCTATCCGAAGAAAAAAAAAAAAGTGTGTTAAATATGTTAAAAAAAAAAGAATTTCATTAGATAAGCTGTGACACAAATAAAAAGGTTTTGCTACCTTTTAGAACTCCTTTTTGTCAATATGAGAGCAGAGCACTCAGTCTTTGGTAATCATTTACAAGATCAAAGCAAACAAAAGGATATTTGACCAGTTCTTTCAAAATCTTCCACCATCATCCAGTGTCCTGGGTTTTCTCTTATCCTTTATTGCTCAGCGAACGAAACAAATGAGAAACAAGATGGCCGCTAAATAAAGTCGATGTTTGGTCTGGAATGGTTATCCCTTTTTATTTGACTTTATGTCCTGATTGTTTTTCAACTGAAACAATCACTCTTAGCAACCTTTTGTTGTCTTACAGAAGCATCCGGTTCATGACCTTAAATCTGATATTTCAAATAGATCATAATAGTATGTACTCTGATAATGTTCTCTGGGTCTTTGGATGACAAACAGGCCTACAGCATCATAGATCCTTCAACATACTTAGCAGAAGCAATAAAATGTCTTCTAGCCATCTGACGTTTGGCGCCGAACCTCCAGTTATAAGGTCTTCAAATTCTTAACTCAGCATCCTTCTCAACCTCTGCCAGAGATTTCTTCCCAAAGGGGAGATTTTCCTCTCCACTGTCACTTAATGCCTGCTCATGGGCAGGTTCATTCAAATCTGTGTGTATCCAAGCTGGACTCTATCTTCCAGGTCCCTAAGTGAAGCACTAGTATCAGCTCACACAGTCTACTGGATCTTTCCAATAGTTCAAGCACATGATCTCGCCAGCCAGCAGTCTATGGACTGAACCAACTTCATCTATCTCCACTGCACCACCAGTTTCAGATTCAGTTTCTCATATACCTGCTTATACACATTACAGTAAAATTCAGCGCTAATGTTTGCTGCCAAGGTCTGAACACCAAAGTCCTAAAATAATTCTATAAATAAAACTCTTCTGTCTTTTTCTTTCCGTGCAAGTTCTTCAGATTGAACTTCTCTATAAGCAGCAGCTGGCTGTCATTTATGCAAAAACTAGCATGAAATTACCGTATTTTCACGACTATAAGGCGCACATGAACGTCTTTTTTTTTCCCCTCAAAATGTGCGGTGCGCCCTTTGGTGCAGTGCGCCCTATGTGTGTTGTAACTGCGACTTATGAGACCACCTCATTGAGGAGATGATGAAAGAGTGGCTGAATGTAAGGAGACCAGGTGGTTTTTTTCCACTCATCACCATCGCTGTTAATCTGTGACTCTATGCGTGCCCATCTCACAGCTGATGTGGAAAACATGGTGAAACAAATGAATGCTGTGCTTGCTGTAATTCAACGGCTTGACATTGGTGTGAACCGGGCGCACCAGGCGCAGCAAGTTTACATGCAAAGTCAATGGTTGACGTGCGTATAGGCGCAGCAAAAGGTCCCGCAGCGCGTTTTGAGCAGCAGGCGCCGCCAACGCGCTGCTGCTGCTCGAGATGGAAAAATTGAAGTTTTGCTGCTGGACGTGCCGCCTCCACCAATCAGAGAAGCTGATCTGGGAGCTGACAGCGAGACAGACACA